GGTGCATTATGGTCCATTTGGCTACGACGATTCATGATTTTGTCCACAGCGGAGGCATCTGGGTTCATGGTTACAGGTACTCTGCGTAATATGGAACCAGTAATATCTGTAGCATTGCAGAGGCCCAGCTCTTCCTTTATGCGCTTCAACTTTAATCTTCATTTGAAGAATTTAGCATACATGGTACAAGTTTCTTTGATCTCTCTGTACGGGGAAGGGTGATGACGAAGAGCGGGAGTTTCGTAATTTCTCCATTTCTCTTTCTGTTTTCTCATTCTGGCTAACAGATTTGACTTGAAAGCCAAGCTCTTCTAATTTATTAAGAGTATCCTCTGTCCGGATGTAATTGAGCAAGCTGCGTATAACTAATTTTAGGTGTGTCAGGGGCTTGTTTCGGGGAGTGGGAAAGCGTTGAAATAAGCCCCTTCATCAAGTAGGAAGGATGTTGGTCATTTGTCAGTAGATTTTTGGATTAAGAACCAGAATTTTAATTCAATCCCTAATCATCTCGGGAGTGTAATCACGATGGCTAAATTTGTGTGATTTGAATTGTTTCACTAAATCGTACCAATTATGTCGATTATATTTGGCAATAATCGGGAAGGGATACAAGGAATAATAATTTCCTTGCAGTCTTTCCAGGGGGGGTGTCATGGGTGGGGCTTGCTGTTTGATTCGATGGTTCGTTCAAGGCAGTTTCGTTGATTGGCCGTTGAGAAGGTGCCAAGATCGGCGCAGGCAAATTCTGAAGTTTCTGGCTTGAGTGGGTATGAGGTAGCCGAATTCTCTTTTCAGGCAGTAGTCGTTGCAGAAATTGGTCTTTTTCCGTGCGTTCATCTTAATTTTTTTGAAATCTTTTTAAAATATAAATTTGGATCGTCTTCTGAGCTGTCAACATCTAGAGAGGTCCCTTCGTCAGAAAAGGAGCTGCGATTTCCTTCATGGAGTCAGTAGATGGGCAGAGTGGACGCTTGCAGTTGTTACGTGGCTCATCAACAGTCATAGAGTTGGTGACTGAATGAAATTTATGGGGCTGGAACTTGGAACTTTTTCATTTTTCTAGCTTCGACTTCTTACTATTCTAAATTTTTACTAGTATCCTCAAATTGTCCTTTGAAAGCATTCGCGGGAAATTAGGAGAGGTAAGGTGCTATTGCACAGTGTGCCCATAGACGGGGACGACAAGTACCTGGTAAATAGAACTCAGCAAAGAATGAAAGTTTTCAGAGTTTCCGGATAGCTGTCAAAATCTGTGGGTCGATGTTTACTCCAAAACTGCAGCAGTTAACAGGAAGATGAAAAAATCTTTTTGAAAAATACATAAAATATTGTACAGGTAAAAATACAATGCAAGAATAAAATAATAGTAAAAATCTAATAAATTGAAGAAGAATTTTGGTTAAATGGAAAGTTAAAATGTCGAGACCCAAACCGAAGATCTTTAGGTTCATAGTTTAGAGCAGTGCTCCGCAACCGGTGTGCCATGAGTAGAATTTAGGTGTGCCGCAATCAAATACATGTATTTGACATTTTGCAATTTTTTATCTTGTATTTAATACACAATGACAATTTTTTTCCTTAATAATGTCTATTTTAAATGTTTTTGTATATTTCACTGTTGTGTGGGTGTGTGTGTGTGATTGTAAGTGTGTCAGCATTTGAATTTTTTCGGCACTTCCTTGATAACTCGGAACTCTTTGGTGTGCCACGAAATTCCAGAAAGATTTTTTGTGAGTCGCAGGTGAAAAGGTTGCGGAGCACTGGTTTAGAGTCATTAACACATAGCTAGTGGGACTTCGCATCTAGGAGCGAAACAAATGCACTAATAAGCACTTACACAGCAATGATTTCATGAATAAATAAGAAGTAATTCTGCATATCAGTTGATTTCTTAGAATTACGAGTCCAGAGATGCAAAATAGTTAAATGCATTCATCCTGACTTCGGTTTTCTCCATAAAAGTCTTAGAGTTTTTAAATTATTGCAGATTCTCTGACTTTCAATGGTTGGCATTTTAACCACACAAAAAAAATTAGACCATTCCAATTTCTTTCAGGTTTTCCTCAGGCAGTCTTGTGAGCTGGAATCTCCGGCCGATGCTATTCGCACCAGCGGTGCGATTAGCCGCTTAAGCTATTCGCACCAACATTAACCACGCTTTTGCATTGAGTCGTCAGATCCGTCATTTGAACCCAATCGAAAAGCTCGGATTCTACGTACGCGAACTGCCTAAGTGTTGTAATGAAACTCTTTTTCAAAAGCGGGTTACTACGTTGGCGTCGTTTATCATTTTTTAAGCGTTGGCGACTTTCAAAAGTTTAGAAAGGAAAATGGGTTCCTTTTCTTATAAAAAGAAGGAAGACGTTTCCTTTTATTAATGTATATATAAAAAAGGGCAGATTTTTGTGTTCGCAATGTTTATCGTTTTTCTAAACGGTTGGAATAGATTAAATGATTGATTTGGAGGGGAGACAAGATCTCGTTTACATTTTGTGTGCTTCTTAGAATACATTTAGCTTCAAAGATGTGTTTTGCGCAAACAACACGTTAATTCCTTCCTCTTTGAAAATTTTCGACAGAGAAAAGATAATAAAAATTAGACAGAGGATTTTTGTGTAGAAAATTTAGACATGAAATAAGTTAAAAGCAATTAAATCAACTATTAAACGAATAATTAATCATATAATGCTGGTTATTAACAATTCTGTATGCCTGTTTATTTTTTTATGGAAATACTTAGAAAGTACAAATTTTCAGGACAAAAGTACTTTGAAATATTAGTACAAACACATTAATAAATTTAATTGAAAAAATTATGAGGTGTAATTTAAAAGACAGAAATAATTTAATGTAAGTGATTTAGATTTAAAAATTTGCACACACAAATGATTTATCAGATTTTATAAGGTTTTATTTCATAAATAACTTTGATTTTGAAATGTGGCATTTGAACCTATAAATATGTGTGCATACTGAAAAAGTGATGAATATATAAGAATATTATAATTTTCAGTAAATTTTCTTATTGAATAATAAATTCTAACAGTCCTATACTATAAGATTAGAGTCTAAATTTGAATAAAAATTCTTCTGTTAAATAAAAGAATTTAAGTAATTTCTGTAGCCTTTTTGTCAATACATTAAAGATTTTTTAACTAATCACACGTCCTCGCTTGCAATTAGAACCATCATTAAATCCCTATTTTATCTAAACATTTCCTGAACATTATCATGTATATAAATTGACCTCTCTTTGTAACTGATAATTATTACTTGCAATTTATTCTCTTGCTGGTGAACTATTAACAACCCTTTCTATTGCAGAGTTAAGGTTAACAACCTTCGCTCTTGCTACCGCCTGCCTTACGGAAATCGGCGTAAAATGCTGGTACCTGGGCTGATTGTGCGCATACGCGAACGTAGGTGGTGTGAATAGCCTGTTAGCTATTCGCCCCGTTGGTGCGATTAGCCACTGCGGGAATCTCCCCTTTCTTCGTTCCGAGAGGGAAGGGAAATTTTTTCATCCTTCTTAAAGTGCAAAGTTCTTTCTTTCTTCTGGTCATTATCTGTGTTTTCTTTTTCCTATTTCTATACTTCTCACATCACTTGTATTTGAGAAACATTATTTCAGCACAGATTGCAGGCAATTCTTCTTAATTTCCTTTACATGTATAAGTTTCGTGTTGCGCGGCACACTTTAGCCATGTTGTTGCGTTGAAACATTTTTCTTTGGTGTGACTGTGCTGCTGAAACGTGTGGCATTGGGTACAGCCCAGTTTGCGTCTGGAAGGTTCGACGAAAACGTCGAGATCTCGAAGCGTTTTAACCTTATAAATCCACTTTCCATCTTCGTTTCGGGTCACTTCCGCAAGTAACATTGGGAGTGGAACAGGAGCATCTTCATTATAGCTATGAAGCTGTTGGATTTTTAAAAAAGGAATTTCCAGATCCGAAAGTTCTTAATTAGTTCTTTATTTCAGTTACGTGGGAGCTTTTCACGACTACCTTAAACGGCTTATCCGAGTTCCATTAAAGGTATGAAATGGAAGCAATTTCACTTTATTGGAAGATTTTTCATAACTTTACGATAGTCGTCTGACTTAAATACTCTAATTTTTAAAGAATATTCTTTCACTTTTCCTCTGATTTTCCCGGCACCTTTTGCTTTCAATAGATATTTCATGCTCTCCCAGTCCAGATTAAAATTTGAAATGATGACTGGTGGCCAGAGGTTCTTCTTCCTAGTGACTTGTACACTTTCTTCAGAATCATTAATTTCTTTTTCCATATTATCGTCCGGAATTGAATTTTTAAATCTGTTACTTTGAAGGTTTTCCTCATAGAATGTTTACGCTTCTTAATAATGCGGGGTTTTTTGAAACCCTCAGCATCGATCTGCGCTGTGTGCCTGATCTTACGTTTAAAAGTGCTGGTACTTTTCGTAGTGATGGGAGCATTTATACCATTTAGTTGCATTTGTAGCGATGGGTACATTAGTAGCAAATGTAGCATTTTGAAAAGTAGCGACTATACTTTCTTTTTTAGCCTTGAGATGATTGTATCTTTCCAAAGAGTGGAAATCCGGAATTTTCAAGATTTAACGATTCATCACCAATGGCGTTTGATAGCGCAAAAATAGTTCCCCAGAAGGAAAGTTAAGAAACGTTAGTTGATTGCACAAGCGTACGAAATCAAAATAATAAACCGGTAAAGCATGTTTGTCGGCATTAAGGTGTGAAAGTTTTAGTCCAAATACAACCAAATCCCCCCCCCCCAAATAATTTTGTTTACCGAAATAATTTGGTGTCATGGTCATTAAACTAATTTTATACAGTTCTTTATTCTTTCTAGGCATGCTTTCTACATTCTTCGTAGTGTCAAGGCGTTTTTGTGAATTGATCCATTGTTACGGGATTTAACTGTATTTTGATGAGCTCTTTTTGTAGAGGAAAATGGCAACTCTTATGTAAGCGTGTTTCATTTGTTTTCGATTACTGAGTGAAAAAACTTTCTTGGGGAAAGAGCCCAACAATGCTGCAATCAGCGGCAGTGGATAGTGAATGAAACTGTTTGCGTTCGTGGTCACGTTTGTTTAGATTTTATTCTGAAACTAAAAGGTTCTAGAGATTTTAATGGCTACTCGCCGTTCGACGACTTGTTATGAAGATGATACACTTTCCGAAAGTGAAGATGTTATTAAAAAATCCATTACTATAAAAGTTTCTATGTGCTCCAAATATCATATTTTAGCTTTCATATTAACTTTCTTCAGGTGCGTGACTTCAGATGTGTTTTGTATTTTACATGCTGTTCGCAGCCGGTATCCTACAATTCAGTGAATAAATTAATTTGATGTAAACTTAATAATAATAAGTATAATTATCTATTTTTTTAAAGTTATTTCCTTTGTTTTAGTTTCTGTTACTGAATTCTGTGATATGTGTAAATTAAAATGTTTTCAGTAGTTTTCTATTGGAATAATTGCTTAAAAGAACCTTAGCTAAAAAAAAAATTATGTTTGCTTTAGTATTTTCCGGGGGGAGGGGGTGAACGTAAAATATTAAAAATGCGTATCTTAATGCCAAGAAAAGAAGCTTTTATATAATTTTTCACCACAGCTAGTAGTCTTCTATGGCCGATTATAATCTTTAAAAGTTTAACTTGAAAAATAATTAAACGCGGTGATACATATAAAAATGCAATTTAAAAACAAAACATTATTTTTTAGAGCTATTTTACTATCCTAAGTATTTACAATGTTTTGACTTTGGATATATTGTATTTTAATGCGTTTTTGAATCAAAAATATACTCTAGTTTGATATATATATTTTTAAATGACTACAGTGGCTCCCAAAAGTGTTCGTACACATTCAGAATTTGTAGAAAAAGGCTCTGTAGCCTGGAATTGAATTCAAATATAATGCTCAATATTTTTTTATATCATCTCCATGCAATTTTGAATAAAACTAAAGGCTTTTTTTAATACTGGCTTATTTTCTTTTTCTGAAATTGAAAAATCTAAAAAGGTATAGATCAAACTCGCCAGAAAAGTGATCGTACACCGAAACATTTTCGCAAAATTTCATAAATAAAGTTATCATCTGCCACTTTTTTTTAGTTTTTGCATCTTGATGATGTATAAAAATTCTGTTGGCTTTATTCTTTCCTTCCTTATTTTGTGTTATTTAATATTTAAAACTGGGTCAGTCATAAAGAAACAACATCTTTCTGAAATTCATCATTTTTCATAATAAAGCTGGAAAATCCATCCAGGATATCACTAAATTAATAAATTTATCCCTTTCTGGCTCAGTATGTGATAAAATACTCTAAAGAAGAAAATCAGATCGAAAATGAAATAAGATGTCACCAATAGTGTATAGCAGATGGTAGCTAAGATTTATGATGATAGCTGTGAATTTGAAAGTCTTCAGATATTGCAAACAAAATGCAAAATTTTCCATTTAATGGAATTTGGGGAAGAAATGTGGTAATAAATAAAGATGATATAACAAAACTTTTTATTGTGATGACAATGCTCCAATCATTAATCAATAAATGAACATCAGAATCTGTAGTATGGCTCTAAATTAAGAAAGTAGTGCTATTGATAGTGAAGAAAGTGACAGGTTGTTATGAAAGAAAAGCCTTTGATTGACAATTTAGTGGGAATTCTCAACATGGCAATTACAGGGCCTTGAACACTGGAACTTTGTAATTGAACAAAAAATTATATGTATCTCTAGAATTAAAGAGAAAGAATTAGGATAAAGAAAGCAGATTAAACAATTTACATTGAAAAAAATTTTAATAAAAGAAACAAATATTGAGCCATTATTATTATTATTTTATAAATTTTGATTCGATTCATTTCATGCTTTGTTATTTATGTTTTTAATTTCTGGATGTAATTTTACCTGATGATCTAATATCTAGAAAAATCCCAAATCTGGATTCATCAAAGCTCCGATGAGTCTGGATCTCGGACTTCATACTGTATTTTGGTGACGTGGTGATTGTTTAGAGGGTTGAGCACATAATCAGAAAGTATCAAAATTTATTCTAATCATTTTACCTTAAATGCTTATTAAAGTAATTGCCAACTTACAGACCTGATAGCATCAGTCTACTGATAATTGTAAATTTTTGAAAATAATCTGTATTTCTCTAGTAGTAGCAGCACTGAAATAAAATTTGGTAGTGAGACTGACAGTGGTGGTGGAGTGAATGAGTATCTCATATGTAAGTCTGTTCAAATGTTCCTTCTTAAAAGAAATTAAGACAGTGTCATCATCTGTGATGGTCAAATGAAAGGCCTGTCTTGGCTGACAGTTTTCTAATACAATTTTCAACTTATGCACCTTCATGCTAAAATGTGCTGATATCACATTGTGCTAAAACTGTACTTGAGATCAGATAGTCTTTGAACATTCTGTAGCAGTTCTAGCAAAATCTCTTCTAAAATCTTTCAAATCATTTGCATTAAGTTTGGAAAGAGATAAAAGTACAGTCAAAATCTCGTAATGCTGGTCCATATTTTGACAGAGCTTCATCATGCTGATCAGTGTGTGGATTTACTAGCCCAAACATGAGAATTGTGCACATTGAATAGTCTGTCCAAGCATTTCTCAAAATTTTTTCAATTGGGAATCACGGTTGATCTTTACAATATGGTAACTGGTAGTTTGGCGACATTTTGGAGGCGATAAAGGTTACTACCTGGCACTTTGGTAATAATGTGAGCAGTACTCAGTTCCGATTACGCATTATTTTGTGTGAGGGAAATGAGAGATCATGGGATATGTCATGTGATATTAATCGGACGAATTCTTTAATCGGAATACGGTTCTTTAATCGGAAAAGGGGGGAAATCGGGAAATAACCTGGAAATTTTGTATTTGGCTTTATTCTGTGTTGTGTGAAACAGTGTTCGTGAATTTTTGGATCCCATGGCCGTAACTAAAGTGAATTCCAAATGGGTATTTATGTATGTATTAATTTAATGTATGTGCTCATTTATATTTTAAGTAGTGTTTTTGAATTTAATTATATTTAATTAAATGATAGTTATTTTGTGAATTTTATGTTTGTAGGAATTTGGTATACGTTTTAGTTGAAGTAAACGTGCATGGAAATTATTTAAATATCTGACACTAAGTATTTGTAATGGTTGCGGTATGAATTCGTTGGTGACGTGTATAATGTAATAGATGATTTAGAGGTAAAAGTTTTTGGATATTTTATTTATTTTATATGTGGAAATGTTCATATTTGGAAAGGGTAAATAAGTTTTCGCGATCGGGTAATTTCATATATGTTCTTTTTACCGGGTTTAAAGATTGAGAGAATTGTCATGTATTTTTGTGAAATTTTTCTAATTTATGAGAAAAAAGCAGTGTACATGGATATAGTGAAGAGTGTGCGCAATGCCATTTTTGTGCAATTCTGGGATGTTTTTTTAAGTAAAAATAAGTCGGCGTGTACATGGTTTATGTGTATGTGTTATTTTGAAAAACGCGTAAGGAGTATGGTATTGTGCACTTTTTCCCAATTTTGCAGTGAATATTTGTCATGATTAAGCAGTTTTGTTAGATAAAATTTGTAGCATAAGTGTAATTCGGCTAGTAGATTGTTGGAAGAAGTGTTCAGTAGATAAAAAGAAAAGAAATATGTTTTTACTTCGTGAACACGAAATGGCGGCGGGAAAAAAAGTAGAGGGTTGCTGTAGGAGAGTTGGTCGCCAAATTTTTGCCAAAAAACGCCAAGTTACCATAATGTAAAGATCAACCATAATCACTTATATAAATTAGAGTGTTAGTTAGCAACTCAGTACAGAACAGGATCTGTTTTCTTGGCAGTCATAAATAATTTCATCACTGGAAAAATCTACAATGTAACTGATGGAGTTTCCAGAAATTTTTATATGTAAAAGGATACCGAAATGTGCTGTCTAGTGTCTTACCCCTTTAGTCTTGACAATTTGTAGTACTGTGAACAAATGTGGTATTTGATTAGCTCTACTGCCCTTTCATTGTTCTACAAATTAAAAAATACTATTGTATAACCACTGATTTATGTTGTCTGCATGACAAAAATGTAAGGACATTTCACACAGTATTGAATATTGTTAGTTGTATCTTGTCTTATTCTCATGTTATTTGGATTGCTGAATGATATGACTCTATTATTCTCTTTATATATAAAATTTGGATATATTTTAACATCTAGATTATGGCTATTTTTATAGTATATATGTGCACAAGACAAATTTTGATATAATTTAAAAACCGAAAAGATTGAATTATTTATTACTTTTAAAAGACTTACTTTAAAGAGAGATTAAAGACTACTAGAGGCACCTTGCATCTTATTATTGTTTGGTTACTGGTTAAGTTCATGTAATGGTAAAACAGTTGAGGTTGATTCTAGGTTCTGATGTAATTAAGTTGTCAAATTACTGTTAGAAGTAAAATGTCTCTCTCTCTTTTTTTTTTTTTTTTTTTTTAATTTGATATATGCATTTGACTGCTTTTGAATATTGTCTTTTTAAAATGCTAAAGTATTTATGTACTAAGTATAAAAGAAGGTATTTTCTAATTATCTTGCAACCACAAGAAAAGTCGGCAACTCATTGGCAAATTTATGAATCAGTGGAAATCATTTCTTTGGTTATCTTTCCAGCTCATAGGTACTATTCTGCTTATAAATAATAATAATAGCATTTTTATAAAAAACAGACATTTTATGAAGGAAAAAAAAGTTGGTCAGCTGATGTATGCATTTTTTACTGTTTGGAGAAATTATGATTAAGCATTTAATCCACATGTTTTCATGTGTGTGTGATATGTTCACATGTAGGTTGGCTTTAAACTGGGAGTGCAGATAATCGGAAAGTACCAAAAGGGGTAAAAAGTACTAATTTAAAGAAAATGTATTAAGAACTAACAAAGAAAGAGAAAACAGGTTTATCTGTTATTTAGTTACTTACATATCATCCCGTCAACCATCACAGATGTGATTCTACTGCTCTTAACTCATGCCCCTTTTTGATTGGGTATTTTCTTGTCACAATTTGGCCCACCAGCGGCCGAGCGGTAAAGTCACTGAACACTGGTAGTTTGGTCTGAGGTTCAAATCCCGCGAACGGACTTGCTGCATGGGCGTTTTCGTGGTTTTCCCCATGTGTAATGTGTATACGAGCCAGTTTCCCTTAGAAAGTCCTCCATAAAGGCATCCCTCCCCTTAGACAAATAGCCCTCGAGGCTTTGCCATAATCACACACTCTTCTCACAATTTTTCAAATTACATTGCCATTGTTTATTTGTTTTCAAATAAAGTGTCATATTGTGTCCATTAATACACACTTTTTTATGATAGAATCCCATAACTTCGAAAATAATCCACTGCTTCCTGTTCTGTAGAAGGCATGTTCCAAAGTTTAATAATTTTTTTCAAAGTACAGGAAAAAAGTACCACAATAGTTTATGTCCTTGTTCATAAAAACAAAAGGTGGAGTTACATCAAGCAAAAGCGCAGATGTTACGAGTGTTGCAACATAGTGCTTATCTGTAATTCGTGCTGAATTGCATAGCTTGGCAAGAGTTTCCTGGTTAACAGGATAATTCGTTAAGTGAAGTTATTTATGCTATGTACATAGTCTAATAGAACTGACATTTATATCTTGTCTTTTCTAGCTATGCTTTGTTTCATGCTACAAGGAAGACATTTAGCAATGTAAAGGTTACCATATCAGAAACATGGACTCCTCAAAACCTTTCTCTGCCTGACATCTTTGATGAGGTGAGCATAAAACAAGTATTTCTTGTATTATCTAAAAATGTGAAAATTGTATTCATGAATAAAAGCTGAAAGGTATTTTTTTTAGCTATTCATTTTTAATTATGTAAAATTTCAGACTGAAAGGCTATTGAAAAGAAATTGTTGTACCAGTTTTGTTTATATGTGTTTAGTTTAAGCAAATAAGTGTATTGGATAAAAAAAAATATGTATATGTCTGAGAAATATGTGTATGTCTGAGGTAGAGGAGAGATATATTACTGGGTATTTTTTATTTGTATTTATTTTCATACGTTAATTTATAAGGAAAGAACAGTTGGCAATTTTTTCTATTAATGGGTTGCCATATAGCACCAAACATCAAAATAAAAAAAATAAAAATCGGTACCATTCGGTTTCGAGGGCCGTAAAAAATCACCAAACTGTTGTTGATGACAATGCTGCCAAAAATAATTGCGGCAAGAAAAGAAGTATAATAGTAAATAACTATCTAAGATTGATGTTTTAATTTAGATTAAAGGTTAATTTCATATACTTTTTTATTATTATAATTTATATGAAAAAGGCTAAACATGACTGAATGAAAGCATAAGATTAAATAGCTATTTCAGATCATTATTATAATTTATATAAAAATTGCTAAACATAACTGAATGGATGCCTGCATCGCTATTTCGCTACCGACTTATCGCTAAAGCATAATTTCATCTAGTTGGTTGTTCAAACGTAATTTTCTATAATGAATGATGCCTTTTCGTTGAAAATATCCTCGGTAAAGTGCAGAATCGCTCACGTATTTGTTTGCCTCTTTTTACAAGGGTAAAAACAATTGGATTTTTATCAATTTTATTTTATTTTTTAAATGAAAATAGGTCGATGTGTACATAGATAAAGTCCCATTTTTCTGCAATTCTGGGATTTTTTTATTATTTTTTTTTAGTGAAAATAGGTCGATGTGCACATGGATACCAAGTATGTGTAATTCTTAAAAACGCGTCAAGCAGTGAGTGATTCTGCACTTTACCCAAAATTCTATTGCCGACTTTTCATCATGGGCAATTCCCAAATTGTTAAATCCATAGGATATCAAAAAAGATTTAAAAACTAAACTAGTATGCAATGGGGTCTTAAGAAATATAGAACTATATAAACTTACGCTATCTGAAATCAACATGTACGCTAGATTTGGCGTGCTGTTAAATGGGCGCATTTGCTAGATTTGGCACTTTTGCGCATGCATTTTCGCTGCAATTTTTTAACGACCCTCAAAACCGAATAATACCAAAAAATCAAACTAGTTGGTTCAAAATCTCTAGATTGCAGCAACTGTAACAATTTGTACGATCTAGATACTTAAAGCTTTGTAGAAAAATGACTGTTTTATTAAATCCAGAATAAACACTAAAGAAGTTTTTACCTGATTAAATTTCAGATTACACAAAAGGTACAGAAGTGGTAATTTCAATTTGAAAAAAAATTACGGAACCACTCTGATATGCGCCCTCAAGTCGCCAAATTTCTCGCCAAATATTTCTGGCGAGAAACTTTACGCTGCGATATTACTATCTAAATTTTTTGTCTACATTTCAAACTTTTAGCCTAAAATGTCTCCAAAAACGCGGTTTTCGCACATGCAAAAACTACGTTTTGAACACACAATTTAGCTAAAAATCCGAAACAAAAACAAAAAATTTAGATAGCAAAAACGTAAAGTTTCTAACCAAAAAATATTTGACAAGAATCCATTACAAACTACGCACACCTTGTTTTAATAAATTAACACAACAACAATAAATTTCAAAGAATACCATGTACACAGCATCCTGTTTAAACTTAAAAAAAATTCTACGAATTGCACAATTTAGGCAAGGAAGGAATCTACGATCTACGCACTCCTCGCTTTAATAAAATAACGTAACAACAATAAATTTCAAATAATACCATGTACACAGCGTTCTGTTTCAACTTTAAAAAACATCTACGAATTGCACAGTCTAGACACTAAACAATAAAATAAACTAAAATAAATTTCAAACAATTTAAAAAAACAACAATAACGACAGAAATTCATACTAAAGAACCAATGAACATAGCATTCTACAAAATAAGAACAAGGATAAAATAAAATGCACTTACCATGAATTAATGCGTTTTCGAATAGCAGAAATATAAATTTCATACTGCCTTTAACATGCCGCCACGTAATCACTATCGTATTTACATGACACACTATTCAGAAAATTTATACTATGGTTCACAAATAAATAAATTCACAAATCCCTACTTCTATCATGCACTGCCATTAAAAATAATCTCCCAGACCCTCTTTCCACACTTCCAGATACCCTCAACAGGATAGCCACAATGATATTTCCTTTTGCCGAACTTCAATTCAACAGCTACCATTTTATCTTTCCCTCCAATCTTCTCAGACACAGAGGCAAATCAACGAGCTCCAGCAAAAAATTTTTCAACGTCAACAGGGTTGCCATAGAACACGCAATCACGCCAAAAACCAGCGCAGAACACATATTGCCACATTTGGTGAAATTAGGGCGTATATTAGAGTTGTACCAAAATTACTGTGGTTTCCGGAAGAAACACCGCGGCGTTTACGTGTTTAAAACTTAAATTTTCAGGGGGTGCGGCATTTCTACCCATGCGGCGCTTAGGTGCATTAAAAAAATATTTCCTATGATGTCATTATGCATAGTTTGAATGACCTTGTTATTGTACATAGTTTGGATGGCCTTGTCATTGTACATAGATTGATGCTGTTCCCACACAAAAGACCACTCAGTTGCTTTCTGTGAACTTTATTTTGTTTACATTCTTTCCCTTAAACGGACCTACATGCCTTATTTACCCTAAACGCAATCTCATAACAATAACATTCTTCCCTCTTTCAAATCAGCTTTCTCCAGTTTGAATAGTCTTTCTTCTCTGCCATTCGATGAATCTTCTAAGACGCATCCTCTCCCCACCCCTGCCTTTTTCATTGTAAATCTGCAATTTTTTTCAACGGCGGCCATCTGCATTGCAATAACGAATTCTGACGTATTTCCTCTTCAGCATGAATCTATTTTTCTTGGCATTCTGCCAGATACAGATCACATCAGTTTGAGTACAAGTACTTGTTGGATAGTTTTTAAGTAAGAAGGGAGCGGAAAAACTTTGAAAATGGCACCTAAATGGCACAGAAGCTATACTGATGGTTTTAAGCCTAATGTAATTTCATGTGCTGAACTAATTGGAAATAGAGCAGCAGCTCGAGAGTTTGAAATGGACGAGAGATGCATTCGACATTGGAGAACTTTTCAGTTCTCTTTTCAGTTTCAGAAGAACTTAAAAATATGCCACAACAGAAAAGAGCCAAAAGAAGTAGTACTGTAAGGTGGCCAAATCTAGAGGACGACCTTGGAAACTGGATAAAGGAGCAAAGAGGGAAGGGAATGGCAATTTTGACTGTAAAAATTCGCTTGCAAGTAAAATTTATGGCAAAACAAATAAACATAAATGATTTCAAAGGAGGGTTTTGCTGGTGTAGTAGATTTATGAAAAGAAAAAATATTTATGTGCATACTAGAACAACAGTCGGGCAACAATTACCAACAGACTGGCAAGATAAAAAGGTATCTTTTCTAAAATATGTGACATATATTATTGACCAAAAAAAAACTTCTTCTATTCCAGATAATAAATATGGATGAAATGCCATTAGCTTTCGATTCTCATTCAAACAGAACTGTTGATGAAACTACAGAACTGTTGCCACTTTGGACATAAACTGTATCTGTGCTTACGATGGGGCATGAAAGAACGTCATTTACATGTGTGTTAGCTTGTGCCGCAAATAGTGACAAGCTAAAGCCGATGATCATTTTTAAAAGAAAAACTATTCCGAAGGGAGATTTTTCTAATGACGTAATTATTTGGGCAAACGAGAATGGATGGATGTTTGGCTTCCTGTCCAGGGATTGCACTGCCCAGGACATGCAGTCCTTGGAAAGGGAGCAGTGTTACGGATTTTGTATTTAGTTGGCTATTTTTATTAGAATTGTAATTAAATTTATTTCATTTCCCTGTGCATTGCAGCACGTGATGAATTATAAGCACGCACAAGAGAAAACTACGCCAGAAAAGTAAAAATACAAGAGCATGTGCATTTCAGATTTAATAAAAGTTTATCTCTGTAATTGATATTTAATTTGAATAAATTTAGTTGACTACAGTGTTAACTGTAACCGTAATTCTACGCATTTTGCTTTCCAAGTATTGTTAGAGCTGTCTTGTGCGGCCGATTTAAAAAGCTATAAAAGTCAGAGAGAGAAAATCTCAGCTCTGTTGTTTTAGTGAGTTGTTGTATACTTAGCTGCTGTAATTTTGAGATCAGATTAGCTTTCTCTTCACTTCGGATTGTGTTCTATTTAACATTTTAGTAGTTTAAAATATAACTACTATGTGATATTATATGAATATCTGTGAAGAAAAATTTCAGCATTTTGTTTTATTTCTTGTGATAAGAATAAATTTTAATTACATAACACACGCCGATATGCTACATAAACACCATCTTTGTTTACACTGCTACAGAGGTATTCTCATTGGCTGCTGAACTCGTTCCAAGTCATCATTGTAAGAATTTTCACTTACCTAAAGCACTTCTGTAGATTTGCAAAAGCTTTGCATTCAGTCCCTTGAACTCAGGCTATAGAGAAAATGCTGCAAGTAATGCACAGGGATTGTCATTTGTTACATCATATCCTTTCTTACAAGTACTGAAATCTATATTGCTATGAAAGCTAGTCAGGTCTTCAGTAATCTTTTTATGTAATGGCATAGACAGTCCATTAATGGGTTCTTTTGGTATCCTAAACACACACACACACACAAAAAAAGAGATTGTCTTTTTTATTTGTTTGCAAGTTTCTGATATACTTAGATCACATATTTCCAATGTTTTACTTATTGTTTCCTGTTGATTTCCTAGACAGACAAAACAA